ATTAGCAATATGTAGCACTTTACCATAAACACCACAAAGCCTGATCCAGGAACACCCCCTTTTTGAGAATCCTGGATGTGATACTACTGCTACACTGTAGTTTATCTCAATACAATTATCAAATGCATGATCATCTACAAATATTGGCAAGCTACAATGTGCAAATTGCTGCATGCAATTAATTGTGATAGTTAAATGTCAGGTACTTGTTGAAGGTCGATTGTTTTCCCAGCTTTTTTGTGACCTTAAATTACTGCCATTAAATATAGAACAAAAAAAATAATAGGGCTAATTGGTCCTTGCAGATGAACTGTATTTTTTTTTTTTTAGATAATTGGCGCTTCTGATGTGTGTTTTTTAGTGTTACTAAGTCAATGCATGCAATTTATGATATCTTTTGTCAGCTTTTCATGGACCCATTGAGTATACAAAAACACCAAATACTTGAAATTCCATATACTAATAGGAAATTACATGAAATGATGAATATTTATTGTATTCCAGGGAAAATTTTCTCATGGGAGATCAAAGATAAATATTCCAGATGAAAAATCAATATAAGATAACCATCTCTATTGTATAGTTACTGAAGTGCATACTATATCTAGTAATGATATAAACTTGCTTATGTAATATTGATGTTAAATGGCAGTTAGTAAAAGAGAGTAGTGTCTTGAAATTTGGTGCCACATTTTCTTAAATATGTTTATGATCTTTTGGAGCGCTAGGGCTCATTAGATATACACTCAGAGTTAGATGTGTTCAATTACCTTTTACTGTAAATATAATGGCTGTTATGATCCATCTGTTATTCTATTAAGGATTGGCAACTGTCATTGACAGTAAAGCCTTATCTGAATCTACTAAAAATACAATATGTATAAATTGGAGTAGAGGTTTTTAACCAATATGCTTTGTGTATGGATAGGGGTGCTACATATACAGTGAACCTGAATATAAAATTGTTGGCTTGTAATTGTTACAAGTCAAAATTTTTTACCATACCTAATTCCTACTGCTTTTAAATTTAATTATTTAAGGGAGCAACCATTTAACTTCAAGGGGGGAGGGGGTATGGTTTTTTGTCCGAGTCCGAAATTTTTTTTTGACGCTACCAATCAAATTATTTTTTTCAAAATTTAACATTATAAGGTATGGGGAAAATCTGGATTCAGAAATATTTTTTTTTGTCATCTGCTTGACCACATTATTTTTTTTCATCAAATTGGGGATCAGAATATTTTTTTTTAGTTAATAGAAATCTATGAAATTTATACACAAGGTTTATAACCACAAAAGGAAGGTTGGGATTGATATTGGGGGTTATGGTCCTAACAGTATAGGAATTAGGGGTGTCAAAGAAGGGACCAAGTAAGCATTTTTCTAGTTTTCAGACAATAACTTGTGGAATGGTGTATGGATCTCTCTGAAATTGTACAAGTTTCCACACCACAAAGGGATGGTTAGAATTGGCTTTGGGGGTTAATGGGTCAAACCGTTTAGGAATTAGGGGCAAAAAAGGGGGAAAAAACAAGGGTTTCCTTGTTAATGGACAATCACTTTTAAGTACAATGTGATATTTGGATTACCTCCCTTACACTGCTTTAAAAGTATGTATAAAGAAATTTTATATTGTCTTGAGGTGATTATAGCTGTCAATTTATTTTTAGAAGTTACTGATAAAAATGCTGATTAAAGATATAGTATTTTTAGACATGATTATGTAAGTGATTTTCTATTTTAAGACTTTTATGATGTATTTAAATGGGTAATTATGGTTGCAAACTCCATTTGGAATTTGAATTGAGATAATGACCATATCTTGAGGGAAAGATTTTTTTTTGGAAAAAGGGGAGGGGGGAGGTGAAAAAAAATTGGAGGGGGGGGGGGGGGGGTAAAAAGAAATTGTGGGGGAGGGGGGGAACAATTTCCTTTTCTCATTACAGATTTCCAAAATTAAAAAGAAAATTTTTGCAAATATTATTTTTTTTTGTAAAAAAAAATAAAGGGGTTGGGTGAAAAAAAATATTTATTAAAAAAAGGGGGGTGAATTTTTTTTTTTTTTTTTGGTGGGGGGGGGGGGGGGGGGGGGGGGTGGGGGGTCAATTCGCAACAGCATGGTGTATTGCACAAAAGCAAAAAAAAAAGGGGGGTAAATTTTTTTTTTTTTGGGGGGGGGGGGGGTGGGGGGCAATTCACAACAGCATAGTGTATTGCACAAAAGCGAAAAATTGAATATAAATTCTAATCATATAACCAATTCTAAGTTCTTTGACTACAGTTATTCTGTGTCAGAAACCTATTATGTGTCAAACATTTAATTTCAATCCAAATTCAGACCTGTATCAAGCACGAATATTGTGTCCATTTTTGCCCCAACTGTTCAGGGTTGGACCTCTGCGGTCGTATCCAGCTGCTCTCGGCAAAGCAATTTATTATGGGGGGCTAGGATCAAAAATTTTGTCCTGCATTTTTTTTTAGTTGTAATCTCTGTCCTGCCTTTTTATTTTTCACTCTATTTGGTCCTGCATTTTTTTTTTATTAGTTTATCCTGAATTTTTATACATAAATTGTCATCCTGCCTTTTTTTTTTTGCCAACTTGCTCACCCTGCCTTTTTTTTTTTTTACTCAAATCTTCTGTCCTGCCTTTTTTTCAAATTTCATCCTAGCCCCCCATAAAAACCAAATGGTAGCTCCCTTAGATATTGCCAATGGACATTGATAAATCAAAAGTACTGAAAATGTGTAAGAGGGTCCACATGCAGTAATCAATAAAACCTTTTGATATAGAAAAGAATTTTTTACTTCTCTAGAAAATAAATAGAATTATAATATATATGGTCTGATACTAGTTACAAGTTTTTTTCAGCTAATTTTGAAAAGTACCGAAATAAACTCAATAAAATATGTCAAGATGTGTCTGACCCCATATAAAAATTTATTTAAAACACTTAAAAATTATTAAAGAATGATGTGATGGCGCTTTAAGTGTATTCTTACATTTACCTATGATATTAGATCAAATTTTTTAAGTGCGGTGTACCTAAAGTATTCCTACATTGCCTATGATATTAGATGATTTTTTTTAAGAACACTGTACCTAAAGTATTCCTACATTACCTATGATATTAGATCAAATTTTTTAAGTACCTAAAGTGTCCTTCACTCCAACATAGCAATATATAAAATTTCCACCATTTGATAGTACGTGTTGTATATATCTATGGAAAATGTAATTTGTTTAGAATAAATCCAGTCTCAACATCCATTCCATATTTTTATGAATACCTAACTAAATAATAATTTATAGAACAATTGAAAGTAACAATTTCCCAAGGCAGTTGTATAATTTATTTGGCAATTTGACAAGGAGCAAAATGATTATATTTTATTTTGACGAATAATAACATAAAAATACAGACTGAGAATTCTATGTCTATATTTTTACCGAATAGGTTGCAAAATAGATATGATTTATGAGAATTGGGTATTTTTTTTTCTTAAATTGGTGGTAGTATTTTTCAACTCTAAAAGCTTGGCAGCCTGATTTCAAAGGCTTTATGTAGTGTTGACATACTGTTTGAGACATTTACTACAAGATCATAGAACTGAGAAATTATTATTTAATGTCAAAGTTCATTAATCATTATCCCACCTTTTTTTATATATGTAAATGCTCCTTTGAACTAAATTTTCCATGATATTTGGTGTCCAGAATCAAACCATATGTAAAAGAAAACACTTTATAAATTTGTGCATCCAAAAGTTCTTTTCTGGATTTTCCTTCATCAATCAAGAACGCCTATTATCCCAAACATGATCTGTAAATACCTAAACCCAAACATGATCAGGAATGCCTTTTAATCCAAACATGATCATGAATGCCTATTAACCCAAACATGATCTGGAATGATTATACCCCCAAACATGATCTGGAATGCCTATTAACCCAAACATGATCAGGAATGCCTATTAACCCAAACATGATCAGGAATGATTATACCCCCAAACATGATCTGGAATGCCTATAAGCCCAAACATGATCAGGAATGATTATACCCCCAAACATGATCATGAATCCCTATTAACCCAAACATGATATGGAATGCCTATTAACCCAAACATGATCAGGAATGATTATACCCCCAAACATGATCTGGAATGCCTATTTACCCAAACATGATCAGGAATTCCTATTAACCCAAACATGATCAGGAATGCCTATTTACCCAAACATGATCAGGAATGCCTATTAACCCAAACATGATCAGGAATGCCTATTAACCCAAACATGATCAGGAGTGATTATACCCCCAAACATGATCTGGAATGCCTATTAACCCAAACATGATCAGGAATGCCTATTAACCTAAACATGATCATGCAGGAATGCCTATTAACCCAAACATGATCAGAAATGATTATACCCCCAAACATGATCTGGAATGCCTATTTACCCAAACATGATCAGGAATGCCTAAACCCAAACATGATCAGGAATGCCTATTAACCCAAACATGATCAGGAGTGATTATACCCCCAAACATGATCTGGAATGCCTATTAACCTAAACATGATCAGGAATGCCTATTAACCCAGACATGATCAGAAATGATTATACCCCCAAACATGATCTGGAATGCCTATTTACCCAAACATGATCAGGAATGCCTAAACCCAAACATGATCAGGAATGCCTATTAACCCAAAAATGATTAGGAATGCCTACACACAAACATGATCAGGAATGCATAAACCCAAACATGATCAGGAATTCTATTAACACAAATATGATCAGGAATGCCTAAACCCAAACATGGTCAGGAATGCCTATTAACCCAAACACGATCAGGAATGCCTATTAACCCAAACATTTGAAAACAAGTTATGTGTAATAAAAACATGCAGAAAAAAGTGTCCCTCAAAATATGAGTTACGACAATTTATAAATTTATGCAATATCACTATCTAAATTTTCTGGGCTTTTTTTCTTATTTAGGAAAATGTAAATATGAAGCTGGTCCTTGGAGTGAATGTGACATCACCACGGATACCATAAAGATGACTATGACCTTGAAATCAGGAGAAACCAAAGAATGTCCTTCAACAAAAATATTAAGCAAGAAGTGTAAAAAACGTTAGTAATCTATCATGTAAGCATGTCCATTTGTGGATAAAAGTTCCGTTAGCATTCTAATAAGTAATGAAATTATTAAGGATGTTCGCTACTCTTGTTTTTGACTTTTTGTCAGATATTTGGAATCCTCTAGTTTTATCCATGTAGTGCCAATACAAATTTTGCCCACTGACCCCTACTTTACTTTTCATAATTTTATTGCCTATAGTTTTAAACATCATTTTTGAAAATTTTATAAAATCCTTATTACTTTTTCATAGCTTTTGAAAGGAAAAAGGTGTCAATGTTAAATATATAAAAAATCTAGAGGGAACCATTTCCCCCCAAATTTTCAATTGATTATATATCTCAAAAACTAGAACACTGACCTATCATTTTTTTCTAATTTTTAAGTTCCCTTATTCATATTCTATCAATTTATAACAGTCTTTTAAATACCTTGTTATTTTGAAACAGAGGAGCGAACATCCTTAAACTTTGTATTAAAGAAATTAATACGGTTCAGAAAACAACTGTTTCTAAAGTAAAGCGGTGACAGTATTAACAAGTAGAATTTGGCTGACAATCAAGTTCAATTTTTTTTCACCTCCAACATCATGGGTGACTAAAGGGAAATAACTCTTGCTCAATTTGCATTAATCAAAAACTATATATACATTGAAAATAAAATTGAGAATGGAAACACTGAAAGTACCAATGAGTCAACAACCTGACCAAAGAGCAGAAAACAGCCCAAGGCAACCAATGGGTCTTCAACACAATGAGTAAATACCACACCTGGAGGTGGGCTTCAGCTCGCCTCTTAACAATAATGTATACTAGTTGGGGGAAAATGGACGTCACAGTAATCTCCGAAACATATAAATGAACCAAAATTTAAAAAAAACAGTTACACTCTAGACTAACAAAGTCAAAATTTTGAGGTTCAAGAATATTTATCAATAAGCTTTTTTATTCAATTAGAATTTTTACAAAGTCTGAGGTTAGTTAAATTGGAGTGGGCAAAAGGAACCTGTACATACACCAATAGAAGGGAGGTGGAAATAAAAAATGCAGTTGGGCTGTACTGTTAATGAAATGGATTTTATATGTTTTATTGCAGCATGTAAATACACAACAGGAAAGTATGGACCATGTGTAAATGGAATTACAGAGAGAGTTGATAAATTGAAGAAAAAAAGCAGAGATATTTGTGAACCAGTAAGAACATTGACTAAAAAATGTCGTGGACGGAATAAAATTAAGAAAATAAAAGGTATGAAGTATATTTATCAGGCGTACGTATGTAAATTTTAAACAACATTAATCTGCTCACAAACAAAGACTTTTACTCTGACTACACAGGTAAAATTTTGACTTTTTTTTGTATATCATGTCAACAATTAAAGATCATGCAGTTTTGATATTTTGTTGATTTTTATTCAGGGTTCTGTTTAGACAGGTATCGCAGATCAACAAAATAATAATTGATTGTAAAGTAATCTTATTCATTGTTAACTTGACTTTTTGACTATTTTGATTGTCATCAGATCTTTACTTACATTTCATGGGTTTGTAATGAAATAATTTAAATTTTCAAAAATTAACAAGTTTCCATAGTTATCTTGGTTTTTTTTTGTCTTAAGGACCATATATAAAGAATCCTCTGCAGGTAGTTTGACCTTGATTTAGTTTAAATTGAAAATAGATATTGATGTTCAGATTATCTTCTGAGGTTACCATAACAATAGCTGCAAGACATTTCTCTGTGTCCACACTTATTTTTATTTACAGAATGATATGTAAAGGTTACATGCACATGAGGTTTTGGGTTTACTTCCAAAACTTTTGGCATATTATTAGTTCTATAAATACCAATAAACCTCATTTTTCTACTAAGAGTTGAAATTGTAAGCCAAATTTTGAACGTCAGTTTTTTAAAAATATTAAAAAGTAGAGAATGTTAACAACTGAATCATGGGAATTGTGTCAATAACATATTTTTATCTGATTGAAGCACTTAGATAGCACTGCAAATAAAAACAGAACCTAAACAAAATTTAGATGATGGAAGATTTTTTATGAGAAATCGCCATTTGATCTGATAATATTCTGTAATAAGATAGTTTTTCAAATCAATGTTATCGTGTTATGTCATGAGTTATAAAGAAACAATTCATCGGAAACTAAATGATGTGGATTGATGGATGATTCCTTTTGACAGCTTGATCTAATATTACTATATTTCATTCAAAACTCTTCAGAAAATTTTGTTTGATTGATATAATCTTAATTAATTTTAAGGATGTTCGCTTCTCTTGTTTTATAATTTTTGTCAGATATTTGGAATCCTCTAGCTTTATCCATGTAGTGCCAATAAAAATTTTGCCTGCTAACCTCTACTTTTCTTTTTGTAATTTTATAACATATAGTTTAAAAGGCCATTTTTGAAAATTTTATAAAATCCTTGTTATTTTTTCATAGTTTTTAAGAGAAAAAAGGAGCCAATGTTAAATGTAAGAAAAGTCTAGAGAGAATCATTTCCCGCCAAATTTTCAAAATGATTATATCTCAAAACAAGGACAGGAACAACATATAATTTTTTTCTGCTTTTTAAGTACCGTTATTTATAAACTATCAATTTATAATGATCTTTTAAAAAGCTTGTTATTTTGAAACAGAGGAGCAAACATCCTTAATTAATTTTAAGAGATAACTTTTCAGAGGTATTCAAAGGTTCAATATTTTTATGAAGGTCTGAATTGGGGTGGGTCCTTCATTTTGTATTTTGTAAGTTTTTAGGTAATTTTTCTCTATTCTTGATATTTTTTGTTCAATATTCTCTATTTCTTTATATCTTTGCACTGCATGATTCTCTATTCTGTAAACCTCATCCAGAAAAATTGTAAGCGAGATGGTAATTATTAGCAGAATAAAATCTGTAAATGACCCCTTATCTGTGTTACCGTGTTATTGCCTTTGAAAGATGGTTTTTCCCATTTCTGTGTTTTTGCAGAAACAATAAAAGATAAAGAAAAAGTTCAAGAGGCAAAAATGATCAGCAAAATAAGATCTACAAGTTAGTCATGAGACAACATATCTGAAATTGTCATACTCCTTTTAAAATTTATTGCCCTTAAATGATGAGTTTTTACTATTTTTTTTATTATAATTTTGCCAATGATCTTGAAAACTTAAATAATGCTTAGACTTTTAACAAGTCCCAATCCTATTGTTGTCTTGTTTTTAGCAAGATTATTTGAAAGTGACATCTCATTCTAAAATGATATAAGTTGTAGCCTTTTTCCTGACATGTTGAATCCAAAATGATAAGCTCTAAAAGTCTTTTGAAGAAAAAAAAACAATAATTTGAGTGTCATCAACTGGATTCCAATATTTTTTTTCAGTTGATAAAACAGTTTTTTTTTTATAAATATTTTCTCCATTTTATCCAATATGTTGATAGAGTTTTTTGGTATTCCACAAAAGATCATCAGTTCATTCCTGCCCATGAACAATGTTTTATTAACTTCTCTTTAACTATTAGATGTCAAAAATCAATGGACGGTGTCTGAAGATACTTAATTTGTTATATACAAAGTGGTAAGATCTGGAGATTGAAAAGGTCACTATTTCAAGTTACATAAAATATCATTAAGGGGATAAATTTAGATTAAGTTAATGATTAGGTTCAGTGTGATTATATAATGACTATAAATCAGATTCAGCATGTATTTTTCAAAGATTTTTTACAATTAAAACCACTGTTTTAAATGCATCAGATAACAAAGCTACAGTTCTGCTAGTCTCAAAAATATTTATGATAGATAGGGTATGTTTTTTTTAATTTCAAAATTAAAAAAAAATATGGGTTGCTTAAGATGTCTCAAGGTAGTTTTTGATGAAATTGAAGTCCAATCAACTTTAAACTTAGTTCACATGCTCCCTAAATGATATGATTGTTCTAATTTAAATGCCAAATTAGAGTTTTGACCCCAATTTCATGGTCCACTGAACATAGAAAACGATAGTGCGAGTAGGGCATCCATGTACTATGGACACATCTTGTTTGAGTTCAGTTGAGCTGGTATATGGTGGTAGGAATCGCCTTTATCACCAAACCTAAAAAGCCTCTTTTTCATCAGTCGTCTCCATAAATGGAGGATTAATTACCATTTACAGACAATATTAAATCTTATTTTTTGATTTTTTGGCTTGAATCCTGAAAACTATAATGCATGGAGAGAAACTTAAGACAGCAAAATAAAAAATTAATGATATTAAACATTTATATTAAGCATCATGCAATTTTTTGGTGAAATGAGTCCAACTTTCAGTGTTTAGATTTTAATTCAAATGTTACAGTCTATTACATTCACAGCGTATTTAGAAATTTAGTTGAGTATGAAAAAAGTAGTGTTTGTTTTCGGAAGAATTCTGAATTCATAGGAACATTGACAATAACTGGGCTGAATGATTGTCCGTCACTATTTATGACTTCATTAACCTCTACTTGACCTATAATCTATTTATATTTTTTTTGTATGTAAACACCTAAGGCACGTCACCTTTTACATACATAAAAATCATCTTAGCAAAACCAGATTTATCTTGAACAATGCAGAAATAATAGTAAATTAAACATGTATTAATTATTTGGTTTATTTAAGTACATCTTAAGTACATCTTTCAAAAAAAAAAAAAAAAATGATTTGACAATTATAATTACAGAAATTATTAATGTCTTGTAATAATTCATAAATTTAAAAAAAAAAATATGTCAAGAATATTATTATTGACTTCAATTTCACAACTACTTGAGTCATATTTATTCAGGTTTGCATTTTTTATCATTATATCAAAAACTGACAGATTATATCATAAATGGATGATTTTAAACCAATTTCATAGTCCAAAGATCACATTTGACTGAAACAATGATGAGTGTAACAGGAACGAAAAGAATGACAAATTACTATTTATATGAAAAATACAGAGGACCTTTTATTGTGAAAGTGATTAGTTTTTCTAATGTGTAGTATCTGATTCAAGAATTAAAACATATTTTGTATAAATCTAATATTTCATGGAGTTTACTTTGCCTCTACCAAATGTTATGAAACTTTTACACAATACTTACTACCACCAAATACAGATCAAGTTTGAATTTTAGTGTCGTCACTTTCACTGTTTGTGTGTTATTTTCCTGTATAAATTGAAAAATTGCTGAATTTGCCGTTTCTGCACTCAAACTTTAGTTTGCTCCTACCAAATGTTATGAAACTGATACATAATGCTTAATACAACCAACGACAGATCAAGTGTGAATGTGGGTGGCGTAACTGACATCGTTCTTGAGTTATGTCCCTTTATCAATGGAAAATTGCTGCATTTCTCGTATATTTACAAGCGGGATCAGTGTTCCATGGACACAATTCTTCTTTTATTTTGTTTTTGGTTCCAGCCTTCAATCAACAAACATGGTGGTTATGGCTAAAAATAGAGCATATCGGGTTCAATGCATTAATGTTTCAATATCTTGAAAAACCCTTAAACATGTTAAAGATAAAGTCCAACTGCAGCAAAAATGCTCTGAATATATTCTACCAGGACTCATCTGCTCTCAGTTACCACCAAAATATTCAGATGACTCCTTGTAGAAGTTATTGCCCTTGAATGAAGATTTTTGGCTAATCTTCATGATTTTGCCAATTATCTCGAAAATGCTATAATAGATAAAGGTAGAAACCAGAAACAGCATAAACAATCAAAAAGAGCTATGATGTACTAAAATGCTAATATGATGGAAACCATTATAGGAGTTATTGCCCTTAAATGAAAATTAGATAACTTATTTTTGAGATTTTGCGAAATTATCTCAAACTTTAGTCCTATAAAAGACAAATTGAAATTTAACATAAAGAATTATAAGCAATGGAAGATCTACGTAAATACTTAATGAACAAACCATTAAATGACTACTTATAGGAGTTATTGCCCTGAAATGGCAGCTTTTCACTACTGGTAATTTTCAAGTGTTTGCCTAATTTATTATCTTTGAAAATTGTAATAGATGAGTAGAAACTGTAAACAGCAATTAAGATTTTCAGCAATCAATGTTTGTATAAACAAAACCATTGGATGACACCTTATAGGAGTTATTGCCCTTAATACTGATTATATCAAAAGAGAGGTAAAAACTATAAACAGCAAAAATAATCATCAGTACAATTTTTATTTTTTGCATGTGAGCTATTCAGACTCTTAGGAGACTCTTGATTTTATTTTGGGAAACAGGATTTATAATGACCTCTGGTTTTTTTTTATATTACAGGAGAATGTATATATGACAAAGGGTCTTGGGAAAACTGTGATCCTGTCACTAATAAAAGAGCAAAGGTCAAATTATTGAAATCTGGTAACCCTAAAAAATGTAAAGCTGAGAAAAAAGTTTTTAGATCTTGTGTTCGAGCTAATGGACAAGGTAAGAAATTTTTAGTTTGCTTTGTTATATTTTTATTATTAAGTAAAAGATTAAAAACATACAATGTTAATTTAATAAATATTATTGCGAGTCTCATTTTATAAATGCAATTTCTGCATTGATGACGTCGCATAGCACCATTTTGAGTGAATTAATATACCGTATAGCGGGTTATTTTCGCGGGGTGTTTATTTTCGCTTATTTTGGCGGATGAAAGAAAATCGCGAAAATAAATTCCGCGAAAGTTAATGCATATTTTTGTTACTTTCTAATAGCTAAAGCGTCGGTCGGTAGGTCAATAATGGTATAGGTTATTTTTAAAAACATAAACAAAAAGTGCATTGAACATACATCTGTTTTACAAAATGACTGTCACGTGTGTGTATCCTTATTAATTAGTGTCAAATAGATTATGAGTAGGGTACTCTATCAGGTAATTACCCTTATTAATTAGTGTCAAATTGCATAAGAGTTGTAAATCAGTCTTGATAATTTTTATAACCTAATTAGTGAGTACATCAAAGTTCCGGTCAAGATTAATAAATAAGATGTCATTTAGGTTAAAAAATCAATTAACTTGCTTCTCAATTTTTCAATATTCTATTTGCAACAATTTCGATTTCAGTATGCGCCAAAATATTTAATTGGGATTTATGAATCCACCAAAATAAAAACCGCCAAAATTTTTCGTATACTTTGTTGCCCCTAAATCGTGAAATTTTACACCCGCGAAAATAACCCGCTATAAGGTATTCTTGCACACTTTTTTTCATCGCTTTTCCATTCTTTAGTTCATTCAAGATATAAAAGTCAAATATAAAAATAAGAAGTTGTTGTATGATTGCCAATTATACAACTCTTCACCAGAGACCAAATAACATTGAAGTTAACAACAATGGTCCATACAGCCTTCAACAATGAGAAAAACTCATACTGCAAAAAAGGCTATTAAAAGCCACAAAATGACAAATGTAAAACAATTCAAACGAGAAAACTAACAGCCTAATGTATGTACAAAACATAAACGAAAAAAAAATATGATATACAGCAACAAACAACAACCACTAAATAACAGGCTCCTGACTTGGAAGAGGCACATATAGAATGTGGCAGGGTTAAACAATTTTTGCTTGGGCCAAATCCTCCCCCATACTTGTGACAGTGGGGTAACAGTACAACATAAGATCAAACTATAAAAATTAGTTAAAAGGGCTTAACTCATCAGATCTATACAAAGCACATAAAAACCCCAACAAAAACACAAAAGACATGAAGAACAGATCTCTGAGAGTACTTACAATTACTGAAAGCTGGTTCAAAGGTATGTTTTTATGCCCCCGCTGTAGCAGAGGGGTATCAAGTTTTACCTTTGTCCCTCTATAAGTCGTCCGTCTGTCTGTCCGTATGTCCCAAAGTTGGTTTCCGTTCTCTAACTTTAGTTTGTCTCAACCAAATGTTATGAAACTTATTCACAATGCTTATTACCACAAAACACAGATCAAGTTTGAATGTTGGTGGCATCACTTTAAACCTTCTAGAGTTATGGCCCTTTATAAATAGAAAAATTACTAAATTTTTAGTTTCCATTCTCTAACTTTAGTTTGCCTCAACCAAATGTTATGAAACTTATACACAATGCTTATTACCACATAATACAGATCAAGTTTGAATGTTGGTGGTGTCACTTTAACAGTTCCAGAGTTATGCCAATTACAAATGGAAAAATTGCTGAATTTTTTGTTTCCGTTCTCCAACTTAAGTTTACCTGAACCAAATGTTATGAAACTTATACACAATGCTTATTACCACAAAATACAGATCAAGTTTGAATTTTGGTGGCATCACTTTTACTCTTCTAGAGTTATGCTCTTTACAAATGGAAAAATTGCTGAATTTTTCGTTACTGTTCTCAAAATTAAGTTTGCCTCAACCAAATGTTATCAAACTTATACACAATACTTATTACCACAAAACTCAGATCAAGTACAAATTTGGGTAGCGTCACTTTTACTGTTCTTCAATTATGTCCCTTTATAACTTTATATGATATACAAGCGGGGGCATCATCTGTGTCCCATGGACACATTCCCCATTTATTTGTTGTTATTTAATATTGAAATTATTTATAATAATTAAATTGAAAAATCCGTAGTTGTTGTACTGTAAATTCAGAAATCATTGCTAGGTTTTTATGAATGTAAATATAATGCGGCTGGGTGGGTATCGCTATAATAAGAACTCAGATTTTTTCTGAAATCGCAAAAGTTAATCCCACATTTTTGTCTTTTTTTTTAAAAAACAATAATAAATGCACACAATATAAATTTCTTAATTTAGTACATATTTAAATTGTTTGAAATATTAACACATCAATCTGCCAAATGGCTTACTACTAGTTATGTGAAATATAGCCAGAATAGATAATAGAATTAAGAATGAAAACAGGGAATGTGTCAAAGAAACAACCCAACCAAAGAGCAGAAAATAAGCCCAAGGCAACCAATGGGTCTTCACTGCAGCGAGAAAATCCTGCACCCAGAAGCGGGCTTCAGCTGGCCCCTAAACAACTTAAGTTAGACAAAAATGGATGCCACACTAAACTCCAAAACATATAAATGAACCAAAATTAATAAAACACAAAAGACTAACAAAGGACTCAGAGGTTCCAGACTTGGGACAGGCGCAACAATGCTTAATAAATTGATTAATTAAATGCAAAATACTGGGAATTTTGGTAAGTGTGTAGATCTATCATGTCTATGACATGAAAAAGTTGCAAGGTTTAAGTAAAGTGTTTAAAATATTTGCTTCTTTTTTGAGTGCATTGATATGCAATACACTGCTCCTAGATTGAATGTCAGATGTATTTTATCACATTATTATAAAGCAACATAAATTGTCAAAGAAAACACTGTTTAGGGAGCAACCATTTAACTTCAAGAGTTGGGGTTATGTTTTTTTGTCAGAATTTTTTTGCGCAAAGCACATACATTTTTTTTTAGTTTTTCCACGCTATTAATCAAATGATTTTTGTTAATATCTTCTAAAACAGATGGAAGATTTGAAATTTTATTTTGTTAGGTTACCGTAGAAACTCGCCTTATAGTCGATCCTACTATAAGTCGGGGCCCTTTTCAGCTCCAAATTCTAAGGATTTAGTCTTGACCCTCGTATAAGGTTATCTCCTTTTCATTTTTGGTTCTTGGCTCTTCTTTTGGGTTTATAGGAAAACCATGTGACCATGAAAATCAATACACAAACCGGAAACAGTAGAATTTCAACACGAATTTGCAGAAAATGTTGACCAAAGAACAAATAAAACACAAAGACAGTATTGTAGTCATTTATTTTCAACAAAAACTTTTTATTTATTGATTTATGTAGGTTTGGCAATCAAAAACGTAGTTTTGACCAGGAAATTCACTCCTGACCACTTTTCTCAAGCTTGGATTTTTCCTCTGGTCGCTAGATCTCGTCTATTAGTCGGTCCCCCTCTCTGGATTATGAATTTTACTCCCAATTTTCCGACTAATAAGCGAGTAGGAACGGTATTTTAGATTTTTAGGACTTAGAGGTATAAAATGATTGGTTTTTTTTTTTATGTCTTTCAGATAGATGCTTCTTTGGTGTTTGGGGAGACTGGTCTGATTGTCAGAATGGAGTGCAAAAGAAACAAAGACAAGTTGTACAAGGAGGAGTTGATTGTCAGAAACGGGCAGTAAAGACACGACCATGTTCATGATGATCAAACACTACGAAATCATAATCATGTTCATGATTAAACACTTCATAAACACTATCAGGTTCATGATTAAATACCATAAGATATGTAACCATATTCATGTTTTAACAATGTAAAAATAAGTCATGGAGCCAAGACTTGGGCGTGCTGTTTCCAGTGGCAAATCTACTGCGTCAACAATTTGTTATTTAATTTTTGTAATAAGAACAGTTTAAGGATGTATTCTTCTGACATTTCAGTCTCGTTGAAATCTCGTTCTGGAATTATTTCCAAAACAAGTGATACAAGTGGAAAATATCAATGAATTTAAAAAGTATTATAATCAAACTTAACTCTGTGAAAAAATTGTGTATTTACAATAAGTAGTTTTTGAGTAATCAAATTTTCCAATTTTATAACCAATCAAGTCAGTCTCATTAGCCAAAATGTTGAGAAAATGGGTGAGGGATACAAGAAATGATTTTACCAGATACATGTACATCCCATATCAATTTTTTCTTTTCAGATTTCTTAGATATATATTTTTTCAATCATTTATAACAAAGAAGTTGAAATAATATGCTTTTTGTTCTAAAAAAAAAGAGAAAAATCCCAAATTGACAAAATTGACAACATGGTAAATTTGACACGAAAAAAGCAACAAAATTTTATAAAACTTTTTATATTAACACCTACCCATAGTTTTTTTAAGTTAATTTATTCAGATTGGTCCACTTCATCTTTAGTGAAAGTATACGTATGAAAAAAAGTTTAATTGTGAAACTGTGATTTTTTTCATGATAATTAATAGCCTAAAAATGGGTAAAAATTGATGAAAAATGGAAAAAAGCATCAAAATTGGGTACTTTCTATTGGCTGTAGCAAAAAAAAAACAGTGCACCACCATATGATTTTTTCTTCACCAATTATTTTTTTTACAGTTGTATAATCCCAAAAATCAGGTTAAGAAAAAACATTTTATTCTAGAAATTTTTGGCTCCTCAGAGGTGTACATCCTTAAGGGGAACTTAAGCTGTGAAACGGTAGCTCTTATGTCCTAATGATATATTTTGACAATTTGTGGACCATAGATCTGCAAAGTGTCAAAAATATCATAACGACATAAGAGCTATGGTTCCACAGCTAAAGGGGAACCACTTATGATAATTCTCTATTATTCGGTATGCAGTTGTATAAGCATTGGCACATATACTGTTCCATGGGACACGATTAGGACCCACAACCTCGGTCATGGTCTATTGACTTAACATCTATTGCATACTGTAAATTCAGAAATGATTGCAATGTTTTTATTGTTGTAAATAATGTGACTATGTGATAATCACATTAATAAGAACTCACATTCTGATATCTGATACATATAAGTGTATGCAGATTTATTATTGTGATTTCAGGAAAATACATATAAGTGTATGCAGATTTTCCTGAAATTGCAATAGTAAATCTCACATTTTTGTCCTTTCTTCAAAAATCACAACAATAAATGCATGCAATAATTTCTGAATTAACAGTAGCTCAATTTTAAATGGAACCACATATGGTAAGTCATTGATCTTTGGAATGCACATCTCATCTCTGTAGAAATTATTGGGCCCTGCACTATAAGTCATGGTTAATTGATTTTGTAGTGTTTGCGTAGTTTAAATACATGTTAAAGTCTGTGATTAGTTCTGTTTAAGGGGGACTTCTACAAGTAAACCAATGATCTTTTGACTGTCCTTCTGATATCTTTCGTCCCTCTTTTGTATGCAACTGTATTATTTAGCATTAAGAAATCCCATTTCCATGGAGATTTTATGGCCCTGTCCCCTTTAGTCATGTTTTTTTTTACTCAAAGATTTGCATAAATTTGCATTTTTAAGTTTGTAATTGGGTTAGCTTTAGGTGAACAACTTGTAATAGCTTAGTCAGTGATGATTTGTATCCAGCTGTAAGAGCTTTGGCATATTATATGTCCATGGAGATAATATGGCCTGCCCTTCATTCATGGTTTGTCAAGTTGACTTTGAAAGTTTTATATGGTTTACATGATAAAGTGTGTCCATTTGATTTCAACACTAATTTGCAACATACTATTTAATTACATAGAGGCGAGACATAACTCTGTGTCAACAGTTTATTAAAAAATTAGTACCAGTTATGTAAAATACATGAGAGTAGGGATGCCCTTTACTGTCAGGCGTCAAACAGTCATTTTCAGCTATCGTTAGCGTCAAATTGGTTAAAATTTTATTGTGATTCGTCAAAATATCCTTAACGTGATTGTCAGAGATCTCAAATAATTATCCGTTACTGTTATTTTGGAAAAAAATTTAACATGATTCGTCAAAATCCGTCAATTTTTTATTGTCATAAAGAAAATGTACATTTATCGTGATGCACCACAAAATTACCGTGAACGTCAACGTCATTTGGCAAGATTTTTAACTGTTATTCCTAACGAGGGTAACCCCATTTGGACTCTCATATATGAGTTCTGTGTTCAAGCAACTTCATCTTTGTTACTTGAAGATATCGATGTTAAATTAATGTGTACAGGTTTGTGATAGAGTATTTTAAACATGACTTGAATTAATTACTGAATAAGCCTTTATGATGCTCACAACTAATTATCATAAAATATAAACATGTTTATACTTAAACACTGCCAATATACAATTAAACATGTTTATGTTTTTAAACTGCAAAGCATGGTCATGACCATGATCAAGAGGATAAATTTTTATTCAAGTATGTGTTTTATTGATTTTTTTAGACAATCAATGTTTTGTACATAAATTAATGACTATTATATGGTTTTGGGAAGATATTTTGTAAATAATATTTATTTATAAATATGATTCAGCATTACAATTTTACTGCACCTTTATGAATTTTACTTGCTTAAAAAGTCTTCAAGCCCTTACATTTTTATGATAGTTAGCTTTGAATGGTTTAGTTCATCCCCTGCAAACCTTAGGACATGTTGAACTTATTATATGTGCAATATCTAACACTTATCCTAATATTTATGGGGATTTTTTCACTGCAGTATGTGATAAAATTCAGGAAATGGATAATATTAAGCACTGCAATCTATGACAAAATGACATATATATTTATCAATATAAGAATAACAGAAAAATGATAAAAAGACAAAGATTTTTTTATGCTAAGACCTTTTCAATTTATTTTAATTGTAGAATACTGTACTAGATATCAACGCATATTTTAAGTTAATTTGACTTTTTGTGGATTTGACTTTATTTTGAAGTTTGAAATAAAATTGCTTTAAATCATACCAATGCGTTTATGATATTGGATGGATACCCCATATCCTTTGTTTTTCTATTAAAGTGAAATTTTCAAATTTAAATGTGTGCAATAAAATTTTCCATTTGTTTTTCTATTTTCACCGTTTTATATGTTCAATATTCATAGGTTTTTTTATTCTTTTTTTAAACTACTGTTATTTTTCTATTTACGTTCAATTGGTGGTTGTTGAAAATAATATAAACATAATATTTTTTCAGACTTGCTTGTTCTCTTTTTGTGTATTCGTTATTGAATGAATGATAAAGATATTAGAATATTAGAATAACTTAAAAATCAAAAATTAAAATTTGCAGTAGAGACCAATGACAAATTACAAGATATTTTATTAACTAATCATGGTGCCCAAAATTTGAGCTATACAATCAAATGAATTACATAATAAAGCACAGTAAATGATTAGAATGATTAGAGTGATTAAAGTACATTTAAACAAAAACATGTATGAATTTTCTTGTTTCATTGCCAGTATATTTGTATAAACTAATTTACCGGTAGCTTAGTTACTGTTGATTGTTTATTTTAGCATGTGGCTAGATCAAATCGAGTGTTTAGAATATGATTATTATAGGTATGTTAACTGAAATTAAATACTAAAATTTAAAATGAACATCATAATGGTATTTTGGACCTGTTTCAATAGATAAGTAATTGGGTAAAGATTGCACAAAGTGCACTCGAAATCCTTAAACTCTTCTCTACCTGTGTTTTCAAGTTATAACACACAACTCCGCACAGTGCCAATATCAAGCAATTATTGATAGGATATGCATTTTTATTAATATTAAAAAGTTGTAAAAAGAAGTGCATAAATCTATGAATCTTTCTGTTAACCTACAATTGTATGGACAAAGGGAAATAACTCAATTAATCATACTGCCCAATATTCCCAGATACTATACAATATTTGATTTGAAGTTTACCATGCAAATACAACTTATCGCTATTAAGTCCATTCTGGAAACAAAAGTCACTTTATAGACAACTTCCTGTTCGGGTCAACAAGTGTCGCTAAAACAAAGGTCAACAGTAATTAGGGCTATTTCAGAAAAAGGTGTCTCCTTGGAGAAGAACGCCCATGAAATTAATACATTAAAATTAAGGTGCATTTATTTGTTTTACATAGAAAATTTTGGGCTATTACCCCACCCCCCTTCCCACCAACATAATTATTTATCAATGGTTTTCTGCCCTTAGTGACATTTTTTTCTGGAAAAGCCCTCAGAGGAGCTGAGGGAGAACAAGTTAATATAGAAAATGAACATTTTGAAATTTTGATAGTTTTATGCTCCAAAATTTTTTAACACAAATTCAAAGTAATAACATGTACAATGCTTTGTTTGAAGTGTTTGAACGATGGTTTATATGCGTCTCTTTGACAAGTTTTATACCACAATATATTGGTTAAACATGGACCCAGATAGCTTTAACTGGTTTGTGATGTCATGAAAAAATTGTGTGATTTCAGAACTTATGCCGATTGGAATAAATAGTGATAAGGTGTATTTAAGTTAATTATTCATTGTTCCTAAACAGCTTTGCTCACAAGTTTTAGGATTTCAGTATTACTGCAATTACTGTAAAAGGCAATAAAAAATGTAGACATATGATTATTGTTTATGTTCTGATATTATTGCTGATGATTTCAAGATCACATTATTTTGGTATATTTACTTTTTGACCTATACTATTGTAGCAGGGATTTAAGTCGTTACTAGTACTTAATCCAATATGTTTACAAAGGTTGTCAGGTATTTTAGCAATCAATACAGAATTCTCTTTGTTGTATATACATTTATTACATTGGTAGCAATCAATTACATTGATTTCCCAGTCAAATAAAAACTGATAATTTCACATGAGAAATAAACGTGGTTAATTTACTCCTCTGACGTCATACAACAATAGGCGTTGTCAAGACGTTGATAACATCGGATCAAAACAAATTGTGAATGCATAGAAAAAGATATAGTTCCTTACATTTTCTACATTAATTTCATTAAAAAAAAGCCATTTGCCAATGTAATAAAAAGAATAACTAATCAAAGAATTCAAATATCGAAAAATATTCAACTCGTGACCGAACAACACGATAATTAACACATGCGCTACGCGCATTCGTGAATTAATGTGTTGTTCGGTCACGAGTTGAATATTTTTCGATATTTGAATTCTTCGATTAGTTATTCTATAAGTATCTTATTCTGTCTATAATAATTTTATAATAAGTGTATATTTCTTTAATCATCTTAACAAAATACATTTTGTTTCATTTAGAAATAAAATTAATTTATTAATTATGTATTGTTTATTTTACAAAGCCAGATAGTTGATTCAAGATTTTCAAGATTTTTTTATTTCCAACAACCCAGGCTCACAAGTGTGCAACATACGCAAACGCATAAAGTTGATAGATAAAAAGGAATATGGATAAAATTTATAATTGATGTTTAAAAAAAAAGTTATAATAAGAATAGTAGAAGTCTTGAACCCTTTCAACTTAAAGTGGATTTTATTGATTAAAAACAGGATGATTAAATCTGAACAGTTTAGTTACAAAATGTCAGTTGTGATGTCATGAATGCAGATGGAAATTGACAAATTAGTATTTGGCTTAAGGTGGTACATAACACTACAGGGAGATAACTCTGTAAAATCAGCTGAACGTTTTAATCACATTCTATTGTTAAGGAAATATTAAGCTTCTCAATGATCAAAATTTGTGATTGTCAAACTGCTATATATCCAATGAAAGAAATTTTTCTAATAAAGTGTGTCAAGTTTTTTTTAAATATTTATATTTTTGTCAAAATTTTATGAAAATTAAACGGGCCAAATTAAATTTAGTCAAGGTGTTTGGTACCACCTTAAAATGGCCATTTACACATATATTTTGGTAAAATTAGATATCTTACTAACATCAGTATCCTTGTGTAAGACATCCTGTAGCAAACTTTATTTAGAGGAGAGTTGTAGCATATATCTATATATATTAAAGAGGGTCTGGGTAGCTAAGTGGTTTAATTGATAACTAGCCTGTCAACATTGATTGTGGCAAGGTGCATTTGACTATTATTGCCAGTATTCCTTCCAAAGGTTATGATTCTCATGATATAATTAAGGGCTATGACAGTAGGGTACAACACCAACAATAAAAAAGGACTATCATGATATAGCCAAGGGCTATGACAGTAGGGTACAACACCAACAATAAAAAAGGACTATCATGATATAGCCAAGGGCTATGACAGTAGGGTAAATCACCAACAATAAAAAAGGACTATCATGATATAGCCAAGGGCTATGACAGTAGGGTAAATCACCAACAATAAAAAAGGACTATCATGATATAGCCAAGGGCTATGACAGTAGGGTAAATCACCAACAAAACAATAAAAAAGGACTATCATGATATAGCCAAGGGCCATGACAGTAGGGTAAATCACCAACAAAACAATAAAAAAGGACTATCATGATATATTCAAGAGCTATGACAGTAGGGTAAATCACCAACAAAACAATAAAAAAGGACTATCATGATATAGCCAAGGGCTATGACAGTAGGGTAAATCACCAACAAAACAATAAAAAAGGACTATCATGATATATTCAAGAGCTATGACAGTAGGGTAAATCACCAACAAAACAATAAAAAAGGACTATCATGATATAGCCAAGGGCTATGACAGTAGGGTACAACACCAACAATAAAAAATGACTATCATGATATAGCCAAGGGCTATGAAAGTAGGGTACAACACCAACAATAAAAAAGGACTATCATGATATAGCCAAGGGCTATGACAGTAGGGTACAACACCAACAATAAAAAATTCGTAAGGGTTCCGCGGAACCCAGTGTCTCGCCTACTTTTGCTGTTAATCGCAGGCTCAACAAAAATGAGGAAAAAAAATCAATAAAAATACTCCTTTAGATACTATCTTTTGAATGTAAGAAGCTTCTGTCAAAATTTGGTATAAATCCAGGATAGTTTATGAATCTAATAAATGTTTTAAAAACTTTAACTGCAGACTGTATTTAATGTTAACTGGAAGAAAAACTAAGTCCATTTATAAGTAAAATACGGATAAACAGGTACAAATTTTAACAAAATTTCCTTCTAGATACTAGCTTTTGATCATAAACAAGCTTCTGTCCAAATTTGGTACAAATCCAGGATAGTTTAAGAAAGTTATTAAAATTTTAAAAACTTTAACCAGAGTGAAAATATTGTATCCTGGCAGAAAACTAAGTCCATTTATAAGTAAAATATGGAAAAAATGAAATTTTTTTTTTAACAAATTTACTTCTGGATACTATCTAATGATCATAAACAAGCTTCTGTCCAAGTTTGGTACAAATCCAGGATAGTTTAAGAAAGTTATTAAAATTTTAAAAACTTTAACCACAGAGTGAATGTAATGTTTCCTGGCAGAAAAACTAAGTCCATTTACAAGTAAAATACGGAAAAACAGGAATTTTATTTTTACAAAATTTACTTCTGGATACTATCTTATGATCATAAACAAGCTTCTGTCCAAGTTTGGTAGAAATCCAGGATAGTTTAAGAAAGTTATTAAAATTTCAAAAACTTTAACCACAGAGTGAATATTTGTGGACGCCGCCGACGACAACGACGACGACGCCGACGGAATGTAGGATCGCTATGTCTCGCTTTTTCGACTAAAGTCGAAGGCTCGACAAAAATGACTATCATGATATAGTCAAGGGCTATAGAAGTCGGGTACAACACCAACAATAAAAATGACTATCATGATATAGCCAAGGGCTATGAAAGTAGGGTACAACACCAACAATAAAAAAAGACTCATGATGTAGCCAAGAGCTATGAAAGTACCTGGGTTCAATACCTTCAATAAAAATGACTATCATGATATAGTCTAGGGCTATGAAAGTAGGGTACAACACCAAAAATAAAAAAGACTATCATGATATAGCCAACAGCTATGAAAGTACCTGGGTACAACACCAACAATAAAAAAAGGGCTATCATGATATAGTCTAGGGCTATGAAAGTAGGGTACAACACCAACAATAAAAAAGACTCATGATGTAGCCAAGAGCTATGAAAGTACCTGGGTACAACACCTTCAATAAAAATGACTATCATGATATAGTCAAGGGCTATGAAAGTAGGGTACAACACCAAAAATAAAAAAGACTATCATGATATAGCCAAGAGCTATGAAAGAACCTGGGTACAACACCAACAATAAAAATAACAATCACTATCATGATATAGCCACGGGCTATGAAAGTACCTGGGTACAACACCAACAATAAAAAAGACTATCATTATATAGTCAAGAACTATGAAAGTACCTGGGTACAACACCTTCAATAAAAATGACTATCATGATATAGTCTAGGGCTATGAAAGTAGGGTACAACACCACCAATAAAAAATGACTATCATGATATAGTCAAGGGCTATGAAAGTAGGGTACAACACCAACAATAAAAGAGACTATCATGATATAGCCAAGAGCTATGAAAGAACCTGGGTACAACACCAACAATAAAAATAACAATCACTATCATGATATAGCCAAGGGCTATAAAAGTACCTGGGTACAACACCAAAAATAAAAAAGGACTATCATGATATAGCCAGGAGCTATGACAGAAGGGTACAACAACAACAATAATAAAGGACTATCATGATATAGCCAAGGGCTATGAAAGTAGGGTACAACACCAACAATAAAAAAGGACTATCATGATATAGTCAAGGGCTATGAAAGTACCTGGGTACAACACCAAAAATCAAAGTACTGAAGTACTGAACATCGGATGACCGCAGGTTCTTGTGGATGGTCAAAAGCACATGTCACAGAAATAGATCACATCTCTATACCTGAAACCGAGGTTAATTTACAGAGATATATTTTTTTCTGATACAAGTTCGTGCATGGATGATGAATAAATGACAGGAAATTCAACCGCACCGTAATAACTATTATATTGTAGTGATACAAATCAGTATACCTGGGACTATTATACTAATATGATAATAGTGTCAGAGTATACATGTCTGGTTTGTTGTTATATATTATATTAATATTACGGTTGCATGTATATATAATTTTCATGTATTTATATATCATTCTATTCTACTATTCTAATTATAGTGCAGTGCAAGTGCATGGTGGACACTCTTCTGTAAAAAAATCGATTTTTCTAAAAGATTGGATATGAGAAGCCATTCATATTTTCCCGCAACACAATAACAGAGTTATCGGTCCTTGCCAGGAGTGTCGCAAAACGTTCTTAAGATATTCTTCCGTAAGCTTTAACACAATTTTTCGGTACGTGTGCATTTATATCATCAATGATTTTTTACTTTTATATATATATAACTAACGACAACACATTTTCATATTATTAATTTGTGTTTTAATAAAAATATTTATAGGAGTATCCATTGAAAAAATGAATTTGAAACAAGCGATAAGTAATGTTATTTTGCACTAGATAAGTGACCGCGGATCTATAATTTTTATAGATCGGTTGAAAACCCAAAACTAATTTGCATAATGGATATTTAGGCGAAAGCAATACATCGATATGACCTCACGGTCATCGCGATGTAATAAAAAGGACTATCATGATATAGCCAGGAGCTATGACAGAAGGGTACAACAACAACAATAATAAAGGACTATCATGATATAGCCAAGGGCTATGAAAGTAGGGTACAACACCAACAATAAAAAAGGACTATCATGATATAGCCAAGAGCTATAAAAGTAGGGTACAACACCAACAATAAAAATGACTATAATGATATATTGCTGCCAAGAGCTATGAAAGTACCTGGGTACAACATGACTATAATGACATAGCCAAGAGCTATGAAAGTAGGGTACAACACCAACAATAAAAATGACTATAATGATATAGCCAAGAGCTTGAAAAATACCTGGGTACAACTATAACAATTACTATCATGATATAGCCAAGGGCTATGAAAGTACCTGGGTACAACACCAAAAATAAAAAAGGACTATCATGATAAAGTCAAGGGCTATGAAAGTAGGGTACAACACCAACAATAAAAAAGGACTATCATGATATAGCCAAGGGCTATGAAAGTAGGGTACAACACCAACAATAAAAAAGGACTATCATGATATAGCCAAGGGCTATGAAAGTAGGGTACAACACCAACAATAAAAGAGACTATCATGATATAGCCAAGAGCTATGACAGAAGGGAACAACACCAACAATAAAAAAGACTCTCATTATATAGTTAAGAGCTATGAAAGTACCTGGGT